TGTAACCTAAACTATAAACGATTGTATGGAAAGCCAAATCTGTGACAATTCAATAATTTACCCATGTAAATTAAAAACAACCTTGAGATGCATGCATTAAATAAATAAATCCACCTTCATCTTCAAAAAAATAAAATACACACACATATATATACTGCTCAAAAAAATAAAGGGAACATTTCACTTCAATTTTATGTGTGGCTCCAAATCCAGGCCTCCATTGGTTAATAAATTTGATTTCCATTGATGATTTTTGTGTGATTTTGTTGTCAGCACATTCAACTTTGTACAGAACAAAGTATTCAATGAGAATATTTCATTCATTCAGATCTAGGATGTGTTATTTGAGTGTTCCCTTTATTTTTTTGAGCAGTGTGTATATATATATATATATATATATATATATATATATATATATATATATATATATATATATATATAAATCCTTAGATAACTTAAAAATAAGAAAGTAACTAATTCATAAATATTTTTAATTCACTTCATAGTAATTAAGTTATTTTATCTCTGCCTTACAAATCAAAATCACCCAGCTGAGCTAATGCTACAGTAGAAAATGTGATTGGTGTACAGATTAATTGCTGTGCACCAATCAGATGTTAGAGTTTATTTAATGAAACGCAGAAAAAGTTTGAATTATGGAGCACAGGAATCAAAAAAGTACTTTAACAAAAATAAACTGTTATGTATGATTTCACCTGTTTAAATTAGATTCCCCAATTGCTTTAATAACTAAAAATTTGAGACCTTTAAAATATGCTTCTAATAATTTTGGCTGTTGGCTTCAGCTGTCACTGGGCAAAGGGCAAAGTTTATTCATATTGCCAAACGTAGCACTGTATTTAATAACGGATAAGGTTTTGGCATTGGGTTGGGATGTTTCACTGTTGGGTATCAACATAAAAATACTTTTAGAGTTAAGACTAAAAGGAACAAATGATGGATGAGAAAGAAGTGGGAATCAGGAGAATAAGGGAGAAGTGCAGCATGAAAGGTAGATGGTAAATATTAATTAGCAGAACGATGTGGATGGAGGGCCCAGGAAGAATATTATGTCCCCAAAGACGTCGGCTTGTCTGAACATCAGTTAAACATGTTTTCATTAAGTTTGAGGATTTTGGTTTAAATACATATTCTTAATTAAATATGTATAACAAACAATCCGAATCTCATCCGTTGTGTAATACAGCACATGAGGAGAACAATGAAGATGAAAATATTCGCAAGGCACAGAACAGAAACCCCAATCTACCTACTGCACAATATTTTGCAATATTTCTCAATCCCTATCTTGTAGCACAATGCATTAGCTGTTGCACACACACACACACACACACACACACACACACACACACACACACACACACCCTCTTTGTGTTCGCCCTGCTACCCTTTAACTCCCTTCCACTGTATCTCTCTTTGTCTGGCTCTCTCTGTGTCTCCCAGCCTCTTTGTATGGAGCCTGCCACAACATTTTGATTTACTTAAGTGACTCCATTCTGCAATCAGCCTCAGACGTGAACTGCGTGCTTCTGCTCATGTCCTCTGTGTGTGTTTACGTGTGTGTGTTGTTGAGAGGCGAAACCCGACGACTAGCCTGACATTCATTAGCTTGATCAATGATTGAGTCTTATCTTATCCCTCCGTTTAGTCTCTTCTCATCTTCGACGTGCTTCTTTTTTTTTTTCAATTTGACCCAGCTCTACTCTCGTCTTTCAGCTCTGGACATGGTAAACAAAACGGTTCATTTCTGAATCCCTTCCTCCTTCACTCCCTGAACCATAATTGATGAGAAATGGTGTTGAGAAATATGTAGTTTTTTTTTCTTTTTTCTTCGCCTTCCTCCCTTTCATTTAGTGGCTCATTGATTAGTTCTGGTGTTGAGGAGAATTGCCTGCTTGGTCCCAAAGTAAAAAGCACTAAGTGTAATTCATGTTTCTCTGTATGCCGTGGTCGGACATGCCTACTCCTTTCACTATAGACGATGTCAATAAACCCTGGCGTCATCCTGCCGCTGGCAAAGAAACTTGTCTTTTTTATGCTGCTTTTTCCGCTCCCAGTTGATTGACTTGGCGTCTATCGAGGCATCTACAGGCTGGACAGTGGATGATTTTTGGCGTCTTTTCACTCTCTAAAAGACAACGTGTCTGCGGGTATCAGAAGAAAGGAATCACAACACGACTCCTTGCATCTCTTGCAGCACGTCACCTCTGGATGTGAACTAGAAGAATACAGTTGTTGACGAGTAGGCAAAATTTTATTTTCTTAACTTATTAGTTTAGTAAACACTCAAAAATATCTCCTTACTATTAATTTATGGAGATTTTACTATTTACTGCATCTTATTAAAGCAAAGTATGTTAGAAGCTCTTTGATCTGGACTGCATCTATTGCATCTGAATCTGCATGACTGTTTTAGTTTGGCTTATAATTGGATTGGTTTTATATGCCATTGGCAGAGCAGGGGGAAATAAAATGAACTGGAATCCATGTAACTAGATTTAAACTTACTTAAAATGCACCAACATGCAGTTAAACTGTCGTAAAAGCAGAAACCGGAAAGGTGGATATATATGTAGCTATGATAAAGCATATTATAAAATCACAACTGAATGAATCAATATGAAATATTTTTAAAAAGCAATTAAAACATCCAATTTCAGTCATAATTCAAATGTTGTACATCTCTTTTTCTTGATTTGACAACTAAATTATACTTTAGATGTACTTCTCATTTGATACATTTTTAACCACCAGACCTGACATGAACACCATGTGTTATTAAATGTGTTTGTTTTTTAATCATCCACTACTTATTTACACCATAAATAAAATTTGGACTGCTATGGAGTGGATTATATTGCACTACTTTGGATCGCCTTATGTATACTCGAAAGAAATGAGACTAAACTGGACTAAATTGACTGCATTGAATTAAACTGAATTATTTTATGTTTTTTTTCCCCTGACATTATTTACTTTACTGTACTTACATAGTTAATGCTGTGTATTGTGGATGTCTGAACAAAATGAAGTAAGCTAAAATGAAATTAATGGGCACTCTGAAATGAAGCTTTATTCTGCAGTGCAGAAGCTGCAGCCTTGGCTGCGTCCTCCAACGTTTTGTGTAAATACTAAACAAAACTCTACTTTAAAAACACCATATGTCACAGCAAAGATCAGGATTATATGCTGCCTGTTGTGTGTAGATTTAGTTTTGTAGATGAAACACTTGAATTCACCATATTTTTCCTTGAAAATGATTAAATATAAACATAAGGAACTTGGCAACCTCTATTGTTCTCTGTTTTTCTGCTACATGGTCACTCAATAAACAAGCAGTAACCATATTACTGGATTTTCTTGGATGTTCCCACAGTCTCAGTTTCTCTTACACTCTCCCTTTCCCTTTCTCTTTGTAAGCAAGAACTTGTAAGCCAGAGGCATTTCTTTTACTTTGCTTGACTTTCCACAACATCAGTGGTGCAAAGAAAAACAAGTTTAAGAAGGAGTGCGCAGTAATATAGACAAATAAAAGGAAAAAAGCATGTCCAGATAGAGCAGGAAGTGGTGAGAGAGATAGTTTAGAAGGTTGGCTGAACATTGGTTGGTTAGGTCAAGCTGGGACTACTTTGGGAAAAGAGGACCACACACACACACTCACAAACATACATATGCGCGCAGCCTTTTAGGCATTTCAGGATCCGACTTCAGAGCTGTTTCTGATTGTGTTTAGACGGCAATGTATATATGAGCAGACGTCTGTCTGTCTCTCTACCCCCATCACTCCTTTCAGCTGTCTTTCTCTTCCTTTTTCTCCCTTTGATTCCCCTTCTCCTAATTGTATCTGACTAATTGTGGTACTCATGGCTTTTCAGCCTATCAAAGTCTGCTTCTTATCCAAATCTTTACTGTAAAATGGACCAACCCCAGCTTTCTGACCAGCCAATGCAGCTCAACATCTGGTACTTATCACTTTTTAAAAGAAATGGGACTTAAGTGAACTGAAATTCAGAGCTCTGAATGGAACCATTCCCAGTTGGTAAACACTACTTTCCCACTGTGAAGGCTGTGCAGAGCTTCACAGCCTATTAGCACCAGAACAGTGGGTCTCAAGTCATTTTTGCCACTTTGAAGCTTATTTAGTCTTGACTAAACAAATTAAAGCTGTGTTGTTTTTACATGTCTGACCAAGCTTGTTTGTGTATTTTAATGTGCTGTAAAGGTGCAGAGTTATCAAATACATTTGTAATTCAGTGCATTTAAGTCAAATCAGCATTGTTTTTCTGCATCAGATCGGTATTGGCCGATACTAAACTTCAGATATCTGCATCGGTAGGGTTAGGGTTAGGTTTTTTGCCTTGACATCAGATAAAATGTTCCCACATATGTTGGAAGATCATCCATTATCTCCTTGAACAACTTTAGGAGTTAATAGTCACAGGGCTGCAACGCATCAGATGTAACCGTTAAAATGGGACTGAGGAATGAGTGTGACACACAATACAATGCAGCGACAGCAGCAGCCCAGTTTATGGGCGCAAACAATAAAGTGTTGATAATGGTCCACAAACGCATGGCTTGTATCTGAAGCATTTGTTGCATAACTCTGCCTGCATGGGGATCAAAACACAGAGCTCAGTTAAACATGGGGAGGATGCCTTAAACACGACATCTGCACGCTGCTCAGGTGTTATAGGCTAATACTCTGTTGTCTGTTCTAAAGACAACTGTGTAGCATCCAGAACATGGATGGTCTGTGATTTTATATGTGGTAAGGGGCGTCTTCAACCAGCACTGGGATTATTACAATAATCAGACTAAATCACAGCATAAGATGTCACGTTAGTAAAGCAGGCTTGAGGACATGACCTTAAGTATGTCATGTTCTCCATCAAATTGAAACGGGAACTACTGACTTCACTAGTGCATCAGCTAAGGTTAGAAAAAAATAATGAAATGAACCCTAAAAGTCCCTTTACCATGTGTTACAGGTAGGTACAACCGAGCTGCATACTCCTCTTCTTCTTCCTCCTCCTCCTCGTCTTCTTCGTCTGACTCTGGCTCAATAGCGTCGGCTAACAGCGGGTTGTCATGTGGATTAGACTGTGGATGTGATTGGTCAATGACAGGTGATGGGCAGGAGGGGGAGGGCATGGGAGAACCTATGAAAGAACACAGCCAAAAAGGAAAAAAACCAGAAAGATGAATTTAAAGAAAGAAATAAAAACAAAGAACTTCAAAAGTTACTAAAATCTTAAAGCAAAATGACTGAATAATGAAGTGTGACGGCTGCTGCTGAAAGCGCATTATGTGACATGAGACTGATGACATCACAGCAGCTGAAAGAGAATAGCAGGAGTCAAACTGAACATTTAGGACCAACAAAACCTTTTGAGAACTTGGTTCTTCACCAGGACTAAAAAGACACCCAGCTTCCAGTTGTTGAAGGATGAACATGAGGAAGAGCAGGCTTTTTGTTGCATCGCCTTGAAAGCAGACTTACAAGAAGAGTGCAAGAAAAATCAATTGTGTATTGATGTGGTAACCTTGGCATTTAGTGACTTGTGAATGCTAAATTGCACAGCTCCCTGCTTGTGTAAATTTGTGTTTTCTGGTCTGTGTATGTTTTGGAGGAGCAGAAAGCTCTGACCAAATTTGGAGCAATCCATAGAAATTCACCACCACAAAGGCAGATAATTGGCGGTTAAAACGAACAGAGAAATCAATTTCAAGCAATTCTGTTGAATTTAGGTTGTCTTTTAGTATTTATCTTACTAAAAGACAGTCTTAATTTTACTGATCTACTTATTTATTAGTTTCAATATATTCAGAAACTTACAGTGATTACACTGTGTTTTAGAACCAGAAAAAACCCAAATATTTAAAAGATGAAGCATAAACAAAATTTAAACCCACTTTCCATTGGATCTCATAGCAGACAAGCACACCTGTCAGACACAAAAAACAGCCTTTAAACAGGAAACACTTCCATATGTGGATCTCAGCGTATTGTCGATTTGGATGTCTTGCAAGGAAATAAGAGAATGGATTTTTTCATTTGACATTTTACCATTTTTTAGATGGTAAAATGTCAAATGGACATGTGCCTGCAAATTGACAACACAGAAAAAAGGGAAGATGGAGCACTTTTGCTACAAAGACAATCTATGCAAGAAACATGGTTGAGCTATGTGGAAATAAAAAAGTGAAGCTCAAAGATTTTTTGACCCACCAACAACAGTCTCTCATATTTAATCCATTATTATATATTATATATATTATATATTAACTTGGAATCTTAGCTTTACGGACAGAAACAAGAAAGGAACTAAATAAACAGAACAAATAACTTATGCTGGGAAACCGAGGTGACTGCAGTTGTTGTTTGAGAGATTATCACATAAGAAAATACTTTCTTGTATTATTGTTTTTTCCTTGTTTTCACAATTTTCGCTACATTATTTATGTATTCAATGAATTTGGGGAATTTTCAATGTCCAATTATACAAACACTAAACTCTTCTTACATTCTCTGTCAGTACATAATGTCTTCTGATGTTCAATAATTACATTAAATCAATAACTGTCCCATCTAACAATCCTCTGGAATATTTAGCTGTCTGCCTTAATTGCAGTTGTTGTTTTCACTGGTTCTGAGCCAAATGAGGGTTAAACTGCAGCTGTGGTCTGTTTATCTTTACATTAATGCCCCCTCCACACAGCAGATGCAGGATTCACTTGAAATGACTTGTTGGATTCACAGCAACGTGCTGAACTAACTGTAGATGACCTGATAAGGTTTAAGTGTGTTTTAGAATAACAGCGTATTTAACCCTCTTTTACCAAAAAATAAATAAATGACTGGTCACATGGAGAAGAACACTTTCAAAATCACTGAATGACTCAACAATATCAAAAATTTCCATAATACATTAATTGGGATCAATGTGTTGAATGTCACATGCCTGTCCACCACAAAGAAAATGGTGTGAGTAACACAATTACTACATACACCAGAGAGGCCAAAGTTTTTCTGTTTTGTCACAAGTAGTAATTTGCCATTGTGGTCAACTACAGGAGCACAGAAGGGTCATAACACAAGTGCTGATTTGTTAAATCTCCAAACTACTTTGCTCATACTTTCCCCTTACTTCCTCCGACTCTTTGTGTTTTCATTGGCTGTGTTGTTATGAACCGAGAGCCAAGTTTTCGTTCCAAATGTAACGTCATCTCCCAGACAATATTTTATCAGCTGCCTTATATTAACTTTTCTCACACATTTGCTAATTCAGTCCTGAAAAGAGCAGAGTATAGAATGAGCCACAATTAACTTTTGTAAAAACGCTAAAAAAAATAAAATAAAATTTAAAAAAAAAATCAAAACTTTTTATTTGAGTCACTTGAAGTGAAGACACCTTCTGGTTTATTGTCTTCATAGACATGAACAGAGGCAAACTAAATACAGCTTTCCTTTCAAAACAGCCTATATGTTGGTACTTTATTTATTTAATATAAACATAATTCTGAAATGTCAGACATTTTATACTTCTGCAGTTGTTTCTGGCCATAAAACAGTGACGCAGCTTAAATAAAACTAATCTGAAATGGGATGGCCCGAGTCTCTGTTTAATTACGTTTCTGCCTTTTGTTTCACTGAGTTAGCAAATCAGATGTATGTAGCGTTTTCATTTGAATCCCCATCCCCCACTCCTCTTTTTGAGTGATGCTGGATATTGGAAAAATAAACTCTGTTTGGCTTTTGCTGAGGAAACATGAACATTACAGGATTAGAGCTGTATGAGAGCAATATTAAAGAGCAGATATGCTCCACTGGATTCCCTGGGTAAATTGGACAGAACCGATCAGCACTATTATACTGTCTCCTGCAAAGAATGATGCTTTTTTTTGTTTTAGAAAAAATAAGCAGCTGTCAAGCTGTGCTGATTTAGTTTTACTGACATTTACCGTTTTGGAATTAACAACACTTCTTCAAAAAGCTTTTACTGCAACCCAAGAACAATATTATATGTCCAACAATAAAACACAATAATTATACAACATCTACTCCTTTGGATCACTGTTCCCACAACGTGTGAAGTCTGGGATCCATCTCATTTGATCTCAGTGCATACATACAGAAATAAAAGGAAAATAACTACTTTGTATAAACTAGAGTTACAGTTACTTTCAATCCTGTATGCTAAAGTAAAATGACCATCTTTGCATATGCGCTGGCTTGATGAACAAGGCTATTCTTAAGATGACAGCACCTTTCATTTCTTTAACTGTAAACAACAGGGCCTGCAGTCTTTGGTCTGGAGACTTTTTTAAATGTTAGTTATCCTCAGGTCAGAATGAGCCTGACCATTTCATGCAGTTTAGGAAACTTCTTTGTCTCAATATTCAGTTTTCCAATCTTTCTTGAACTCAATAAATCTCAAATCAGAGACCGCCTTTGTGGAGTTTATTGTAAGAAAAAACAAAGGGGGAGAAGCACTAAAATGCTGCATTTTAGGCCCGGAGGAAATTCTAGACCTTACCTTTATTAACTCATTGAACTATTAAATGTAGCTCAGGAGGAGATGTGTTGGTATCAAAGCCAGATGCAGTTGTCCACTTAACACCATAGGCTGTTATGACATAGAAGTTGGTTCTTCAGCTTCAAGCCACCCTTCTTTTGAATACTGATTAATGGAGTAAAAATAACTGTAGCTATAGCTGGCAAGAAAATGGCTGGATGCCTCCTGGCATCCTTCCTGAGTACCTAAGGACATGGATTTATGTAGCATTCATATCTTGGAGCTACATTGGATGAGTCATATATCTATGAATCATATTTAATGGCAGCATTTCTAAAGAGCCAAAGCAGTTAAAATGAAACCTTTGAAGTACATTCATAATGTACTTTGTTGCATGTTCATTACTAACGGATATCTACGCAAGGAGACGGGCTACAGCTCAAATTTAGCCACTTGGTGTGCAAGAAACGTGGCCGAAGGGAAGGAAAAACCTCCCAGGGTTGTTGTTTTCTCTCCAAACAAGTTCCAGTGCTTACTGGTGCATATGCTTCCTTAGCAGCAGCTAATCTGTTCCCAGTAGCCCTAACGCATACTGCCACAGATGACTCTTGGTATTTCACCAATAAATCTCAACTGGGCCTAGAAGAGAACTTTTTTTCCCCAAGAGCTGCAGTACAGAATAAAATATAAATAAGTTTTATTGTCCCTCATTTGGAAAATTTAGTTGCACTCGCAGTACAGTGACAGGCAATGAAAGCATGTTCAGAGGTGTGAAAAGGGGTTTGTACTCTTCCTGACTTTTTATTCTTAATTTTTGCATGTTTGTCACACTTAACGGTTTCAGAACATCAAGCAAATTTAAATAATAGTCAAAGACAACACAAGTAAACACAAAATAAGAGTTTTTAAATAAAGATGTTTAATACTAAGGGTGAAAAAAGTGATTGCCACCGCCCCTGTTAAACATAACTGGTTTAACACACCTGAGTTCAGTTTCTCACCATGGCCTGATTATAGACACACCTGTTCTCAATCAAGACATCACTTAAACAGAACCCATATGACAGAGTGTAAATGTGTGAGTGAATGTGTGAATGACTGAGTGTAGTGTGAAGTACAGGCCATTTAGCTTTTTCCAAAGTGAAGTATAGTGAAGATCCAGGACGGCATGCCGAGATCCAAAGAAATTCAAGAACACATGAGAAAGGACTATGAAGTCCAGAAAGTGTTACAAAGTCCTTTGTAAAGTTTTGGGTCTCCAGTGAACCACAGTGAGGGCGGTTATTAAATGGTTAAAACATGAAACAGTGGGTTGACCAAAATTATGCCAAGAGCACAGCAATGATTCATCCAAGAGGTCACAAAAACCCACACAACAACATCCAAAGAACTGCAGACCTCACTGGCCTCAGTTGAGATCAAAGTCAATGCCTTCACCAGAAGAAAGACTTGACAAAAATCGTCTGCATGGCAAAAGTCCAAGGCAAAAACCACTGTCGATCAAAAATAACATTAAGGCCCATATCAAGTTTTCCATAATATATCCTGATTATCAAGAGTTTTGAGAAAACCTTCTGTGGAGTCATGAAACAAAAGTTGGACTCTTTGGAAGGTTTGTTCGATATTGAATCTAGAGTAACACT